GGGTTAGGGTTAGGGTTAGCAAGGCTGGCCGGGGAATTCTGGGAGTTGAAGTCGCCAAGGTTGAGGAACCCTGCTCTGGGCAACGGTTCGGAAGCGGTTTTCCGCGCCCTTTCTGAGGTATTCTTTCCGCTTCTCGCTCCAGTCCGCAGCCCTGGCATGGCCTGACCCTGCCAAGCCATATGCCAAGGAAATTAAATGCAGAGCTGGATGTATCTTAGACATCCTTTTTGTCGCTTTCCAAAAGACCTGTCGTGCAAAGAATAAAGCTTTACAATCTGCAACTATTTACAGATGCCTTTAATGGGTCGGTGACATTTTTGCCTTTGGAGCAAACCTGCGAAGGCCAGTACGAGGTGAAGGTTGGCAATATTTATCAGATTCGGCTTCGGCACATACAGGACGACGAATGGTGAGTGCCGGAAAGACGGTGCTCTGTCTTGAATGCTTCTGTCGTGTTACGAATGCATTTTAGAGAACGATTATTTTTTTGTTTCTGCTTATGTAGTCCAGTCGCGTCAAGCTTATCTCTTTAAATGTGGCGTCTTTCAAATTTAAATCTGCGTTAAGGTATAAATTAAGGAGGTTGCATCTGGCTTGGGAGTCACTTGCCTTAGTTTGATATGATTGCATTTTTGCACTACAGTCCACATGAGACTCTGTATGAAAAACTTCTTATAGATTCAGAAACGTTGAAATGTCAGATAGTCAAGTGCTGCCCATTTTATGAAAGTTAATTGGTGTAAGGATCTTAACTGTCATGGTGCACGTTCTGGTTATTCCTTTCCCATGACTATGGGTTTAGCCGTCTGCCTCAGTTTTTGATTAATCTTTTTGTTGCAGCAGGCGTTTACAGAAACTGTTGGGTAGAGCAGTTTTAATAAGCTGAGTTCACACATCTTACTGAGGCTGTTGGGTCAGTTTCAGTTTTATGCTACATACAAGTCCAAAGCTTAGTAAAGAAGCTGGTTTAGATTTTTTTAAAGCCGAGTTCAGGATTTGAGCAGTATTGATTTTATGGGGGGGGGGTTGTGGTTATGCTTAGTAATTGGCATCTGCCCCGAGGTGATTGCAGCATGTCACTATGTGAAATGGGCAGCTATAAAAATGTGATTAATAAAAAAAAATGTGTGTATGCACAGTTTTAATTAGGAAAAGTCAGCAAGGAAAGCCTTCTAAGAATGCTGCAGGTGAGGCTAAGCCACGTGCTGTGCCCGAACTGCCTCTGCCTCTGATTCTTTTCTTTTTATTTGAGAAAGAAAATATTGCCCCTTTTTGTTATAGCCTAGTATAAACTAAAAGTAGAACCTTGCTTAATTGGCCTGGGGCACAATTAAATTAAGCTGTTCTATTACTGATCTGATTCTTGATTTTGCTCTTTTGTTTGTTTGAAGGACTGTGTCGGTGTTCCTGAACCCAGAAAAATATGTTTCTGATGGAATTGTATATCCTAAAGCAACATGGCTTGGAAGTGAATTGCTTTCTAAAGTGGTTAAATGGTCTACCGAGATCACAAAGAATGAATTTAAGAGTACACTCTCTCTTATTTCTTTGGCTAGATACACCAAGGTTTATCAGGATTTAAAGGAAAAATACAGAGAGATTGTCAAAGTAAGTAGAACTGCTAGATGATTTTTGTTTTGACATTTTTGAATTTAATATACCTGCAGAAAAGTTTATATTTGTTTCTATCTTAAATGGAAAGCTTAAGTTTTGTTCTTGTCTCTGGCTTAATTGAATAAGCAAATCAAACTGAAGGAGGCCTTGGGAACAGAAGAGGTTTCTTAGGCTGAGCCAGCCTTCATCTAATTTCATGGGAAGGTGTGTGGAGAATTCAGACACCCTAAAGCTGCCAGGGGGTGAGCAGGGAGAGGGGTCAATGAAAAAAAAAAGCTGGAATCAGAATTGAATTGGTCAGAGGAAAATACGAATTATGCTTGAAAAGCTTGAGATCTGCATATATGTGAGAATTCATCACTGTCAGGTGGGGAGGGTGCTTGTCTGTCTTGGTCATTAATCTGCTTGCAATGCAACATGGCCTGAAGTTGGGTCCTGATTTTCAAAGGAGCAGCCACAACCGAGTTCCTAAAAACGTTTCTGATTAACAGATGTTATTAAAAAACATAAGCTTTCATGAGCTGCAGCTTGCTTCATCAGATGTATGGCATGGCTAGATTGATGGAGAATTAAATTACGGGTTGGTTATGTAACTCATGTTACACATGAGACAGGTTGCAAGTATCTTATCAGTTAACAATTGTAATGTGTTAAAACCTGTTGCATTTGTTGAGATCTACTGACATGGCCTGAAACCTTTAAATTATGTGAGCTCATATTCATATTCGCCTCCATTACTATGTGAGCTCAGCAATCTCTTGCTCAGTTGTGCTGAGGAAGTTCCTTTTTTACCCAGGTCCTGAAGCTACTTTGAGATCTGTTAATGGAGGGTCCTGGAAGGTTGAAATGCTTTGTTCCCACAGTATATTGTCCATGCTTTGAGTCCTGATGCCAAACTTGTGTCCATTATTTCTGTTGTACAGTGTTTGCCCCATGTGTACTACAGGATGTAAAATCTGGAGGGGCACTGCTGGCAGATGATGGCATTGGTCCCATTAGAAGAAAAGCATGTGAAGGAGTCTCTAATCTTGTGTATGAAGTTGTTAGGGCCCGAGATGGTGCTGTTGGTGTAAATGATGAAAATGTCATCACAGTGAATCCCAAGTGAAACAGGGGTTTCAAGGAGTTAGAACTGAGGAAATACTGTTCTAAGCCAGCCCTGAAGATGTTAGCATATTGTGGAGCCATGCAAGTACCACGCTGTACAATTGATTCGCAGGTGCATGTTATGGCCAAAGGTGAAGTAGTTATGGGTGAGTACAAAGTCACAGAGTTTGGTGGCAAGGCACTGAGCAGGAAGAAACTGCTGTACCAAAAGCTCTTGTGTCAGGAAAACATATTTGGGGAAAATAGGTAGTTATTGTATTGATCCTCACCGCCCCCCCCCCACGATGGTTCCTGTTGCAAGAAATGTCAGCCGTGCATTATCTTGTCAGCATGGTCGAAAATAACTTCCTCATGTTTGGGGTTTTGTGCCCCTGACGCAGTGTTTGAATCTGCTTAGCCATGCAAGTAAAAAGACCCGGGTAGCATTGGGCAGAGCTTTGTGTTGTCCTAGGAATGCGTTCTGCATCAGTCTGTTGGCAGGGGTGAGCTTGCTTAAGGATTGTCATCTCACCCTCTTTAGGGAGGGTCTCCAGTCTGCTGGGGCGGCTATTTTGTGCGACTGAATATACGTTAGATGTGCATCTGCTGGATATTTGAAGTAACCGATTATGTTGAATATTTACAGTTAATCATTTTGTCTTATTTATCTGCAGGTTTGGCCTGAAGTAACAGATCCTGAAAAGTTTGTATACGAGGATGTTGCCATAGCTGCTTATCTACTGGTAGGTGGTGCTTAAAACCTAATTAAAAGTTTTACTCTGAAAGTATAAATTGCTCCAAAATGATAAACATCCTAAAATTGAACTATAAAGAATAGATTTTGCTGAAAGCGAAAACTTGACACTGTTTAAACTGGATGTACAAGATACATTTTGAGCACAATTCTGGCTGTAATTTTATCTAGGAGATTATGTATTTGTTTACAAGGGGTGGTTGGGTATTAGCTTTGAGTGTTTTGTTTACCTTGTTTATTCTTCACGAAAAAGATGCAGGGTACCAGAATAATCTTTTTCATGAAGAATAATGAAGAAGAAGAGCCATGGAGATGGCCTGGAAGAGAATGTTCTGAAGCCATTATAGGAATAGCCACAGCAGAAGCATTCCTTGAGCCCCAAGACAGGAGATAGTATTCAGAAGAGGCTCAGGCTGGCTCCTCCCTGACTCAGTGGGGGTATAGGAGGGAGGGGAGGGAAAACAGAAGCAGACACACAAGGTGCTATTACTGTAGCCTAACTTTCCTTTCTTGATCTGGTCTACCTCCTGTTGACTGTCAGTGAAGGCATCAGTCCATCATGGGTCTCTTTGAAGGCACCAAGAAGCTATAGCTGTTGAAGGTCCACCTGGATGGAGCCCAAAATTGACCTGAAATATCAAGGCCAAGAATGGATGCTAAATGCCAGAATAAAGGATCAGTGTGTGACCCTTTCAAAATTATTAAATGAGTAGATGAAGAATTGGTTAGGTACGGTAGTCCCTACAGTTAAGTTCTCCCAGAAAATCTAAGTAATGTTATTTTGCATGTTGTATCCAAACAATAATGCAGGCTCAGCTGGAAAACTAGATTGGACATACCTGGATGTAATAGGCCTTCAATGCCAGCAAAAAAAAAAAAAAAACAGCGTACCTGTATGCCTTTAAAAAAAAATGTGTTAGCTGGAAAAGGTGCTACCACACTCCTGTTCTTTTGCAACCATAGACTAACCCAGCTTTTCCTACAGTGTCGTCAAACTGAATTAATACTTAATTATCAGTATGAAAGAGCTGTACAACAGCCTGTAAAACTTTAAAATGATACAGAATCCAAAACTCCCACTTTGATTTGTACTTGATTAAAACATGAATCTCTGGACCCCAGTGGTCTCCCACATCTGGGTTGCAAAAGCACAGGTGACCACTAGAGGCAGCAAAGAGAGCAGAAAACTGTTTCCTGCTCTCTAGTGTCCACTAGAGGTTTGGCTGGGCAGGTAGGGACAGAACACACTTCTGGAGAGGAAATTGGACTTAGATTCAGGGTCCTATAGCATCATATGGCAGTGATTAGTACATCTTATTCAGAAACAGCTTGGACAACTTCACTTTTCCAGGAAAGGGGGAGGCAAATTGAATGTGTGGAAGTCATTTTAAAGGAATTTTGAGTATTGCTAGTGATTGGTAATCGTGTAAAGGAAATTTCATGTTGGTGTGGCCAGGCCAGAGTAAATCATTCTCCACTGGGATTAAAGCAGCCAAATGTGCCTCTGTGTCCACAGGTACTTCTGTGCCTCAAAAGATTCACCCAGAGTTGCATGGAAGAACTAAGAAAAGCTGCTCAGGAGTGTAGCCAAAGCTGCAACCCCAGAGCTCAGCCCCCCTCACAGAAGTACCACTGGGAGGGGGGAACACGACAAAGCAGAAGGTGGCCACAAACTGCAGTGGTCAGCCCCAATATGGAATCTTCTTGATCTCTGTAAATCAAGCTCATTCTTTCATAATTTCCAATTACTAATTCATGCTGGTTGTCATTTAGAGTTTCTGAATGGTGATTCTGTCATTGTTAGATCCTTTGGGAAGATGAGAGAACTCTGAGAAGCCTGTCCAAGAAACAATCTTTTGTGGATCTTGGCTGTGGAAATGGTCTCCTAGTTCATATTTTAAGTAATGAGGGGGTAAGTCAATTGTACAGTATTGATAAAACCAGTTCTCCACTGACTCTCCCTCTAATAAGTTGGTCACCAATGGCCTGCTGTATCTGCCCAATGTCTCCCCTTGAGTTGGAAGGGGCAAGCTGCTCAGGAGAGGTATCCCCAACCGATGGCTGTCTAGACCCAAACACCTACAGCGGTGTTTCTCAACCTTGGCAACTTTAAGATGTGTGGACTTCAACTCCCATGCTGAGGAATTCTGGGAGTTGAAGTCCACACATCTTAAAGTTGTCAAGGTTGAGAAACATCAAGATACATTGATGGGGAGCCCGCCACCTCTCTGGATCACTGGTTCCACTGCTGAATCTCTCTGATTATTAGAAAGCTTTTTCTCACATTTACTTGGAATCTACCTTCCCCTCCTCTCCCTTAACCCATTATGTCAAGTCCTGCACTCTGGAGAACAATATTCTACAGGCCTTGACCTTCTTCTTGCCTGATTAGAGTGTCCCTCCCTTTGCAGTCCTAAAACCACTGAGAGTTAGAGCTCAGTGTTTATTCTGACTGGAAGGCCCTGCTCACCATCGCTCATGCCTTAGTCACCTCCCATTTGGATTATTGCAACACAGTCTACAAGGGGCTGTCCTTGAATCACCCGGAAGCTTCGGCTGGTAAAGAGTGTAGCTGCTTGAGTAAGGATGGGAATTCCAAACTTCTTCCACGTAATGCCCCTCCTTCAAAAGCTGCTCTGGCTACTGGCCAGTTTCTGGATGCAGCTTAAGGTGCTGATCCTTGCCTTAAATCCCCTTGGGGCTCAGGAGCTAGATATCTAATTAATATAATTAAATTGATATTAATTAATTAATTTTAATTAATGGATGGGGGTGTTTATTTCTTAACTGTTTGTGGCTTTTACTTTTGTTTTGAGCTGCCCAGAGTTACCCACTGGGGGAGATGGCGGCATACAAATTAATAAGGGAGCTTCTACTCTCAGTGGCTTCTGCCCGTCCAACAGGATCAAGCAGGCTTCACTCACTCCACGTCCCTTCCCTTAGACATTGTCTTCAGAGTGCAAGCAGATATGATAAAGGGCACTTTGCTAACGATGCTTCATGTGTGAATTCTTTCAGCATCCAGGAAAAGGAATTGATGTCAGAAGAAGAAGAATATGGGAAATGTATGGCCCACAGACATGCTTGGAGGTAGGGTTGAAATGTGTCTTTCTTTCATCAGCTGCTTCTGCTCAGATGTGCTTTTTTGCAAACATACTCTGCGAAATGACTTTTATTCTAAGCCAAAATAACGATTATCTGTAAAACAGAATGGCCTATTTAAGCTGGCATTGCTAGCACTCCTAAGCACCTCAGTCGACATAAGCTACTCTCTTTGCTCTTCAACGGCTTCACCATTGAGATTGGTTCCAAATGCCACCCTTCGCAAACAAAGCAGATTCCTTCTGTCTGCTGGGGAATTTAACTTGTTAGAAGAGCATCAGTTCCCACTGCATCCCGAATCCCCATTCTTTCTCACAGGGTTACAAAGGATCTCCCAAAATTTCAGAGCAAATCTTTAGAAGTGCAAAATGCTGCAAATGGAAGGAGAAATTGATGGGTGTGTCTTTTAGAGAGGGAGATGACAAGCTTCGATATGTTTATGCTTTGATCTCACTTTATGCCAAAGATGTGTCAAAATTAATAACAGCAAGAGAAGGGGCCATAATGGTGTTTGGCTCCACAGGTTAGCAAGGAGCCTTTCTCGGTGTATGCTTTGCTCAAAGATGATTGGACTGAGAAGAAATACTCATTTAATATGTTGATAGATTTCAGTGGAAAAATGCTGCCAGCGCTTTGCATGCTTTATTATGCTGTTTTCTTCTCTCTTAGGAGAATGCCGTTAATCCAAACAATCTTTATCCAGATGTTGACTGGTTAATTGGAAATCATTCTGATGAGTTGACACCATGGATACCTGTCATAGCAGCCAGGTGCCAGCCAGCAGCGTTTCTGAAAATAGACGATTGTCTCTGATCTGAGCCATTCTGCAGTTATTCCTTTGTTTATGAACTGCCATGTTACACTAAGCAGTTAAAAACAGGACACGTATGGGCAGTATAAACCATTTATATTAAAAACGAATGTATTTAAGTTACCCCAAGGAATGTGTTTTGTATTTGAAGAAATGTATTTAGTGAAAGTGATACTAAAAAGTCTCAGGAAATGGTGAAAGAGGTGAGCTATGAATAAAAAAAATATGTCTGAGGAGCTTAAGAAAGGTTTCATTCAGTGGAATATACCTGAGAGAAGATTAGTACATAATCTGCATTTGCTGATGGAGGATTTGAATAAAATAAAATTGGAGGTCAGTGAGCGTCTAAGCACTTGCAAAGGAGTGGGTAGAAAATTGGCCAAAATTTTACATTAGTTATGGCAAACATCCAGAAAATGGGAATCAGTAAAAGCAGTATGAATTTTAAACTACTTCTAAAGCAGAGTTTCCCAGATTTTCTCAGTTCATGGCACTCTTAATGTCTCTAATTTTTGGGTGGTCCCAAAGTGTGCACTGCAGCAAACTCACTCACACTTCCATTTATTAAGTAGTAAAATACCCAGCGGTGCCCCATTTGGGGACTGAACTTCACAGTATGAGTTGTTGATGTAATCATGTTTAGCAGTGCACTTCAGCAGTCAGTATTTTGAAGAATTAGTCAGTTTTACCTAACTGCAGACATACGTTTTGAGCAGACAGGTAAATCAGATATTTAAAAAAGTTTTTCTTCACCCCATAAAATAGACATCATCAGCTCTTCCTCCCAAAGCGATTGCGTTTTTCTCAGTTATCCCCCCCCGCAAGTCTTTGCTGAGACAACTTCAGGGACACGCCATCCAAGTCTTCAGGAGCTTTCGATCTTGCGGGAGGCTGGGACAGAGGTTTTATGTCCAAGGTCTTTTCTGCTTGGTGCAGCCTGGCCTTGATTTGTCACCCTGCTGCAGGTCTTCCTATTCGTGCCGCTATTTTCTGCTGCCTTGCTGCTTTTTTGATTTCTACGGAAAGTACAACCGAAGACAGAGCAAGAAGAGCCAGTACAGAGAATATCTTGATTTTGTTACAGAAGTCGGGATCGTATGTGGCTTTAATGTAGAAGAAGATTGCCTTAGAATTCCTTCAACAAAAAGGGTAACTTCCATTTGTGTTGCTCTTTTTACCTTTAGCAGCCTTATTGTCGAGCCTTGGCTGCGTAGAGAGAGTTCTTGAGGCTAAGTTGCACATCACACCTTGCGCTTAAGCTGGGAAAGAGCGAAAGCCGCTGAATTTACATTAGTTCAGTTGAATGGGCAGCTCTAAAATGGTCTAGCTGTCTCTGTCCCACTAACCAGGATGATGCCAGTTTGAGACGGGTGCATTGGTTAGTTTTATCCCTTCCCTGTAACTAAAACGGTGAAGGATCAAGCTCTCTGTTTCGGTTACGACATGCGGAGCCTTTTCTGATTCAGAAGAATAATGAGGAAGGATACCGTTTGGTGGTGGTAGGGATCGTTGCTTTAGAGCTTGGCGGGAGTGTAGGCTCAGACCTCCCTCCACCCCCAAGGCTGCCGAACTCCAGTTCCGCATCCTTCGCCATCACCTGGGGCTGTTGGGAATTGCGATCAGTATCATTTGGGGACCACAGGTTTCCTGCACCACTGCAGAGTGTTAGAGCTGTTGACCATCTCATTCTTGAAGGTGCTATAACTGGCTTCTCTTGTGAAGTTGAGGTCCGCTGTCCGAAAGGTGGTTGCCAGTCTCTGCTCATGGCCATTAATTTTGCATCACACAATCAGCATGTAAATTCCGTAATTTATTTTGTCTGAATATGGCGATTGCTGTCAATTTTTAAATGGGGATTAAACGGCAGAAAGGACTATCAGTGGCATTCAGTCTGGATGGCTAAGAGTACCTCCAAAATCAAAGGCAGCCTGTCTTAAATGCCCGTGGCTGCAGAGCCGCCACGGGAGAGGACTGTCGCCTTCTTGTCCTGCTTGTGAGCTTTTTGGAGCATTGGCTGGCTCGACCGGCCTTTGGTGGGGTCCAGAAGATCCACTTAGGTTCCTAAAACAGGACTCCTCTTTGTCTTAGGTGTGCTTAATTGGAATGTCAAGAACCTACTTGGCAGCACAAGATTCTGCGTTTGAGGAACAGAGAAGGCAGTATATCAGGAAGCACCGGTCCTGCTGCATAACTGTGGCGTTGGACGAAAGGGATGGCTTGCCCCGGGAGCAGAGCCTCTCAGCTGCAGGCGGGGCTGCTGGTCTGGTGCTGTGTGAAGAGGCCTCTCAGGAGGGAGATGTGCGGGCAGGCTTGCCATCTGGGTTTCTACCCCGGGGAAAAGAACAAGCAAGAAACTGCACCGCTCTCCCGCATGCGTTTGTGGACCGGGTGGCGTTGACAGTGGCCCACCTGTTGTTAAGTGAGACGGAACAGAGCCTGCGTGGACAGTCCAGCCCGTGGAATAGAGGAGGTGAGCTTTGGACTTAACATCTTAACGGTTTCTAAGATCTTGAACCTAGATTGCATCTGAAGGATTAGATCAGAAAACGATTTGAATGAGCAGGCCATATTCATCATACTGTAATTAGCGACATCCTAAGTTTTCTAACAATGGTGCAGAGTTTATACAGAATTCAAGCCTAGCAAACTACAAAAATCTATGCCAGTACTTGACAGTATAAAAAGGTAATGATAATATCAATCTGAAGGCTTGCCAAGAACAGCATATGATGTAACTTTGGAAAAGGAAAGAAAAATAACCCTTTGGGTACAGCCTTTTATTTTTTAGAAAAGGAGCCTTTGGGGGAAGGAAGGGGGCGTTATTTCTGCATGCTAAAAAAAGAGCGAGAGAGAAACCAGCATTGAAGAAGTTCTCTGAATGTTATTCTGGCAAAAGCAGAACCCTGAAACTCTGAAAGGATGGCTTGTGGGGTCCTTGTTGCTCTCCAAGCTGGACTGGTGACACTGGCAGGGCAGCTGGCTACTGTATATAAACAGGGAGCAGCCTCCACGCCCACCAGCCCTGAGGATGTGTGCTGCCGTGATGCTGGGCGGTTGTAATAGTCTGTTGGTGGTTTCTGAGGTGTTTCTGGTGTATGGCCATGTTATCCTTTCATAGCTTGTGTTGGTTGTGCTGTGATGAAACGTCTGCAATCAACAACCAAGCTCAGAGAGCACCAAGGACTCCGCAGTTCAACCCTGAGCTACAGAGATTCCCTTCTGTAGGATGGGTTGTGCTAGACCTGGCTCTGAGTGAGTCTTGCCACAGGTCTGTAGCCCTGTCTGCTGGCCCTTCCCTCTGCATTATTAGCTGCAGGGTGGGTGGGTCAGTGGGTAAGCAGTTCTCACAGTAATGTGAAATGGAAGAAAAATTATCCATCTGCTTAGAGGTGCCCTCTGGTGGTCATACAGATTTTTGCACCAACTAACTAATTTATTTACGGATCAAACTTGTATGCTGCCCATCTTGCTATACAAGTGATTCTAGGTGGCTCGCACATAAAAAGCATAAAAACAGTTAAAAACACAAACCAAAGTTAAAAGGACTACCAATGGAGTTAAAAAGTGGAGAGAGCATCTTCACCCACGGTGTTGGGAGCCCCCATTGGATCCCCAAGCTAGTCGTTAGAGCCAGGTCTTAAGACTGCTCTGGAAGGCCAAAAGAGTGGGGGCCAGTCTCACCTTGGGGGGCAAGATGTTCTACAGGGTGGGGGCAATGGCGGGAAAGGCTGTCCTCCTAGACCTCACCCGCTGGAATTCTCTAGCCAAGGGGGTCCGCAACGTGCCCTTCCTGCCGGACCGGGTGGGACGGGTCAGTGTAACTGGGATGCGGCTGCAGGAGCCTTTTGGAATAATACTCAAGCCAAGGCTTTATTTTCTTTCCCGGTGCCTTGTTGTAGTCACATTTTTGCATTCATTTAAGCCCTTCTCTCCCAAGAGGAACGTTTGTATGAAAGAAAAACACCAGCATTATCCCATGCTAATTGATGGTATAGGTTAAATTAAATCAAGCAAGAAAAGATATTCAAAGATATGAGGAATCCGTGTATCAGCAAAGGGATGTTTCGGAGGCTGTTGTCAGAAGGATTGGTATTTATTGGAATTATCCAATACAACTTTGCCTTTTAGGCCTCTATTGGTTTAGTACTTAATTTTCTTGCGGCATTAAACTTTTGCATGGATTCCCACACTGCCAATTCTCTTCTGCCTGCCATTGTTGTAACTCGCTAGCTAGTCAGTTGGTGCAGATGTATCATCAAACAGATTGGTGCTGTGTAAACAAGTGTTTGCTCATGTAAGGCATCTTTCAAGAGCAAAAGACCAGGGTGCGCACATAGGGCAATTTTGCATGGGAATTCAACAAGAAGAATCAGTGAGAGAGGCTCCAAACAACATGACAGTGAGGAAAGTGTTGTGATCTGCAGAATCTGTTCCATGGTTGTCTTCCTGCCTAAAGAAGACCCAAATATACACCTGCTGTAAGTACAGGCTTACACTTACAGTAAGTACACTGTGTCCTTAACTGGAAGAGAAAGTGAAAGAATGTGAGGAGAGTTCCAGTGCTGCAGTGCATCCAGGAGGGCAGTTTTCTAGACAGGGCAGCTGACGACAAACAGAGAAGAAGGGGACACCAGAGAACAGGACAAACTCCTGCTAGCAAACATGTGGAAGCATTTGACCCTAAGAAGCAAGGAGGCCAAGAGGCACTTGGGGTCAGAGGAATCCAGGAACTGACGCCCAGCTCTTCGTGTAAGAGGATGATCCACAACCACCAGAACAAGCTTTGCACAGAATACTGATCCCAGTGGATCAAAGAGGCATCTCATGATGATAGGCGATTTTCTGCTCAGAATAACCAAGGTGGCTGTTTGCTGTCCTGATGTGTAGACTTCTAGGGGCTGTATCCAAGACTAGATGGAGAAGTTACCAAGACTCTAGAAGCCCATTGACAACTATCCTTTCCACTTGATCTGTATGTCGATGAAGACCACAGCCACTGAAGAGGCCCTGAAATAATCTTTGTGTCTATAAGGCCTTGGGCAGGAAGGTGAAGGAACTGGGAGCACAAGTAGGTTTTCGTCAATTCTTCTGGCAAGAAGTGGAAACAGGATTCTCAGAGTCAACAACTAGCTACGTCGATGTTGTCAGAAAGAAGAGTTTGGATTCTGCGATGACGGATTTGTGAGAACAGATAGGCTGTATCTCATGAAGGGATATATGAAAAGGAAGCAAATGCCCCGAACCAAATACACCGCCCAGGACTTTGGTGGATAAGGGCACCCAGATCCTTTCCACATGTCCTAGCCAGGTTGCCCCATCCTATATTTGCACCTTTCCTTCTTCCTACAAAGATGCAGGGTTTCACCTTATCTGTTAAATTCCATCCTGTCCATGCTATGAGACATGCTGTCTCACAAACCTTACTCCAGATGATGCTTAAATAAAGGCAAAAGGTAAGTTGCTGTTTTGTTTCCTACATTTCCTCCCTCCTAGAAGGGCATTGCTTAGTAACCAGAAGCATGGCTTGGGCCAGATCCTGGCCCTTCCTCAAAGCCTGGCCAGCTTCCCTGTCATCTTCTCTGATGACACTTTAGTAACCTCCCAAGGGCAACAATACAATCAGTTTACCAATTCAACTGAAGAGCTATTGAGGATTGACTGCTACCACATTCTTGCGTATCTTGAGCTAACTATTCCTACCCAGTGCTTTCAAACACCGGCTGGGAATTCTAGGATTTATAAGATTTGTCCACTTGCTCTCGTGATATCCTTCTGAAAACTGCTTCACCCAGAGTGCCCCTCTTCCCATGCCTCAAGAACAAGGCTGGTTGAGTTGGTGGTAGGTCAGTACGGCTGCTGCTGCTTTCTCCTTCAAGAGAGCATCAGTTGGTGAAGGGTTCTGTAACCACATTCATGATAATTAGGAGATTATTTCAAGTTGATCTCCTCAAAAGTCATCCCTGCCATTTTGAAGGCACATTCAATTGTATTCTTATATTAAACTCTGCTAGTGGGAAGACATACAATTGGTTTTAATGTAATGAAACTATTCTGGGAAAAATAAGTGTTGAAAGGTAATATATAACTTTTAAAAATAAAAAAAAGATAAATGCAAATCAAGAATATGGTTGGCTCAATGAAAAATATTTAGCAAAAATATAGCGTTTGTTTGTTTGTTTTGCAAAATAGTTATATTGTATGCATTATAAACCTATAGAACAAAATAAATTCCAGAAATGTCATAGAATCATAGAATTGGAAGAGATCCTTTCGGGTCCAACCCCCTGCCCAGAACAGAAGTCTTCATACGATCGTGGACAAATGGCTCCCCAACCTTTGTTTGAAAACCTCCCGTGATGGAGCATCCACAAGTCCAGAAGGCTTAGGAGCTCTCGCAGCCAAAAAATTCCTTATTTAAATCTCTCTCTCTAAAACTTGCACCGGTTAGTGCTCTGGAGGACAAATCCACATTTACCTGGCAACAGAGCTAAATTCAATTTTCTGGACTTAGAAAATGACACAGTTGCCAGAGGGACTTAATTGATGCTGAAGTACATATGTGTACACGTTTAGAGAGAGAGAGAAGTCTGTGTATGTATGTACATTTTCTGAGGTCAGCCTGCAAAATATAACCACTACACATTATCAGTATTTCCACCAAACCTTCCTTATTACACAGGAAATCTTGCCAAATTTAGTCTTGTCATCACTTGCAGAATAAGGTAAACAATCTACAGTAGGCTGTACAGGTAGTCTCTGCTTAGTGCACAGTTGGGACTGGCAGCTCCATCGCTAAATGCCACAGTTGCAAAGTGAAATATCATGTGACTCCAATGAGCTTGTGACCTCACTTTCCCTTCAGTCATTAAGCAAATCACCACGTAGGTTAAGTGAAACTTCATGGTGTTAGTTAAGTGAAACCTCACGTGAGCATGACTTATAATTTTACTTCTGCCTTCTCTATTAACTCTGTTTGTTGCAAGCCAGTTGCGAAGCACACAAATGGCGATCGTGTGACCGTGAGGTGCTGCAACAGTCATAAATGCAAGGATTGGTCATAAAGCTATTTTTTTAACACTGTCATAACTTCGAACAGTCATTTAACAAGACAGTCAGTAAGTGAAGACCACCTGTATAGGAAGAAGTTGCGTATCCAATGTTGGTATCCATTGATATTCCAAAACATATGAAATTTGCCACAGAATTATGGAAGATATATTCAAATAAATATAGGGATTATGTTGGCCAAGATCTTACCCTTCTTGCACTGTAATTTCAATTGCATCTGTTTTCAAAAAGTAAAGTATTTGTATCAAAGCAGCAGCCACCCCAGGATGAGTGCAGAATTCTGGTTAGAGATGTTCAAATAGGCTTATGTGCAGCTTTTTGCAAGTATCACTTCTGGTGAAATATACACACAAATGCACACACACACGTATACAGAAAAGTGAGTGTTCCAAAGGACATTAATTCCCAGAAGCCCCCAGAGAATTAACAGTTTTATACAAACATTGTTTTCTGTAGAGAGTCTTCCCTTGAGTGAAATTGCCGAACGTTTAGACAAGGACACTTTGAAAACTTTGAAGAAGGAATATGGAGGCCTACAGACCTTGCTTAGAAATAATTATCAAGTATTTAAAGGTAAGAAGGTAATTCTGTCTCTGTCCCTTTCTGGGCTCAATTTTAGATGTTTTTGTTGTGAACTGTTGGGCAGAAGAAGAGAGTCTCTTTCTTTATGCATCTGCTTGGAGTAATTGTTATCCTTGAAAGATCTCCAGATGTTTCTCCCAAGTCAGGGGCTGTTGGTATCTACAAGGGAGGAGCCACCTCGGGGTGGAGTTCCCTCCTCAAGTGATTTCCCTCTGGTGCCTCCCTTGATGCCTTTTTAGCATCAAGCTAACATTTCCTACTTTCCTAGTCACTGCATCAGTTTTACAGATAATTTTTGATGTCCAGTGCCTGCCCTAGGATTTATAATGTATTTTAATGCAATTTATTGGTTATACTGTTTACTCTTACTATTTTTCTGTTTTTAATGTTTTAAGTAACTTCATAATCTTCTCAGTGTTCATTATTAGGAATAGCAACAGTAATCACCACTGCTGCCACCATCACAACATTTTCAGAATTCAGAGAAAATTTTCTCTGGAAATTTGTTATTTTTAATGTCAGCAAACAATAGCATCACTCATTCAATATTCAACCCGTTCCATGTATTGCTAATTCTCAGACTTTAGGGTCTCCTAAAATATTAAATGCCCCTATGATTTCATTGATGTGTTGGCTGGGCAAGAAGTAAATATACCACTTCGTTACTTAAGTTTTAATCAGTACCTCACATGGATTCTCGGCCTTTGTGGTACAGCAACTGCCAGAAGGAGGGGCATAGCCCAGAGCAGGTTTTGACCATGTTCCCACAGCTCGCCCTGATCTACTGACTGACAGGATTAGGGTAAAAGTTCCCTCCCTTCCAACTGTCAGCTCCCTTTATTTATTATAAGATTTGTACTCCCTCATTTGCTTCTATAAGCCCTCACGGTGCCTTATAATAGTTCAGTACAGGATAAAAAACATGACTGTTAAATCACTACAATTAAATTGACATTAAAATCCACATAAGGTTGTGGAAAGAGATGCCTTTTTGCCCTTTTCTGAAATCCTGGGAGAGTGGGGCTCAACGTTTCTGGGAGGAAATGGGTTGTCTGACCTCCAACCAGCAGGCCTCCAGAGTTTGCCCGTGGCCACTCTCTCCTGTAAGGGTTGTATTAGTAGACTTGGTCCATTCAGCTTCTCAGTCCCTGTCAGAGCTGCACCTATTGAATTTCCCTCGAGTCCCTTAACCAGCACTCAAGAGCAAGTAGTGGAAGAGTCAGTGACAAGGTTGGATAGACAATTGTTGTTCGGGGAGACAAGAAGCCCCGCTAACAAGGACCGTCTGCTGTAAGTCCAGCCTGACCAGACTCTCTCCTTGTCACAGCAGAGTTTAAATCTCGTGTCTTTGCTCCTGCCCTGCGTGGAAACTGACGTCTTGGCCTTGGGTGAGACAGTTCCAGACCTGCCCCAGGTTTAAGAGCGTTGGTGCCTGATCTGGGGCTCGCTGCTTCCAGCCCTTGCAGTCCTGGCCCCGGGCTGTCAGTTGCTGCTGCTAGCCTGATGTTCCCAAAGGGTGCCTTGCCTTCCCACTCAGGATGGAGACCAACAGAGCGAAAGCGGCTTCACGTTTGGGATTGCAATCCTTTTCCACAACACAAAAGCCCCTCCGTCTTCCCTCAGAGGTCCTGCTTCTGATCTGTGCCGGACCTGCTTTGCCCGGAACTGCTCAGGGGCTGCAGTTACAGAGCAGTCCCCCGTCTCCTTCACATTGCAACAGGACTCTGGATTAGTTCCCTCCTGGGCCTAAGAATTTAAACCAACGAAAACAGCCATATTCCCTCTTTCCTTAATTTGAAAACTAGTGATTAGCCCTCAGGAGCATGTTTTTAACTGCCTATCCTGCTTTATCATGTGGAGAGAAACTGATGAGGTATCAGGAACAATGCTTGGCATGCCACACCTGGCTGATTATCCCAGGAACCCAGCTCTCTTTCCAACTCTGAGGATGAAGAAGCGCGTGAAGATTATTGCAGCAGTCGTGGGGGGTCCAGGAGACAGTGGGACAGGAGAGTGATTTGACCTGGGCCTCTAACTCAAAAGAGACTTCTAATTTGGACACTTCTTTAATCTTAAAAAGGTTCAAATTACGCCTCGCTCAATACTCTGCAGATGTGTGCCTTATTTTGTTCTGTGTTGTCATTTCCTGTTATGGGCAGGTCCTTGAAAGCTGGAGTTGATCTAGACATCTCCAGAAGGGACACTTTCCAGACTTGAAAGGCTGTGGGTGTGTTTGGTAAAGACTTGAGGATGGAAATGTATGAATGCTAAAGCTGCTGGAAGATGCTCCCAACCAGCAGGGTGGCCCTCTTGGGAGACAGGGAGGAGATGGGTGATCTTGCTCTACTGCTTGTGCTGACAGCGGTGACTCTTCAAGGATTGGAATCGTCTTTCCAGCCTCATGAAATGCCATTTACTTAATGTAGCTTGCATGCGAAGCACACGTCCTTATTCTGGACCTGCCAATTGACATTAATTGTCATACCCAAAAGCTAATAAAAAATGCCCTAGGGCTTGAGTTGGGTTTCAGATCCATAAGAAAAACTAGGTTTCTGTGGGGAGAAAGGGTTACATTCTTCAGTTTGCGCGTGCGTGCATGCTTCTATGAGATTGGGGGAGGGGGGCATGTGGAATTCATAATTTGGCACTAATCTGTCAATATGATTTCTTAATCTTAGTTCAAAATGGGAAAGTTCATATTCGTGACTGGAGAGAAGAGGAGAGGCCCAGGAGACAGATGAAACACCGACTTCCTTCTAAAGCCGTTAAAACTCGCCTGTGTTGGTTTTACATGCATCACCCTCAAGGCTGCCCTCTGACTTCTCCATCTTGTCCTTATGCTCATGGAACCGCAGAGCTGAACCCAAGAAATGGAATGCCGAGCCATAAAGAGTTGCTTGTTCAGATTTGCTAAATAAAATGTCTAATGTCATAAAGAGCATCTATCTTAATATTATGGTGGCAGCTTCTGTGTTTATTCTGCTTCATAAGACAAAAAGAGGCCCCCTTGTAGCACAGCGAAGATTTTGACATTCATTTGTGGTTGCTTAACGAGTAATCTTCTTAATAATGAATATTCATTTGTGCATTAAAATGTCAGCCTGATGACTAGGCGTGTATGGATTCCCCCTTTTGCTAAAAAGTTAGTTTCTCAGAACATTCTTGGATTAGGTCAGTCTATGGAGTTACATTTTAGTCCTTGGTAGGGCTATTTTATTCTGTTGCTTCTGTGCTTTCTCTTACAACTAATATATCTGGGTGTATTTTCCAAAGAGTGCCTACCTATTTGGCACTACAATGCAGCCTTTAGCCTTTTTGTCATAAAAATTAAAGGAAAAAGTTGCTTTTGCTGTAAGTTCAGAATGTAATTAAGGGAGCTCACAAAGACTCCTCTTTTTTTAGGCCAGGAGTAGGCCATTTGTGGGCCTCAGGTTATTGCTGAGCTCCACCTTGCGGCCTCTCAGTTCTGACCGTGGGCTGCCGAGAGTGAGACTTGACACCATGTCCATCCCTGGAGGTTTCTGTCTGAAATGCTGCCAAGTTCCATTTCATTTTGCATTAATATAACCAGAGCTTTAGTATGTAGCCTTTCAAGAGCATGCGTGCTTTCTCTTGAGGGCCCCAGTTCCCTTTATGGTGATGCAGAAGGCTTGAGCTGGCATTTCCTTTTCCTTGGGGAACCCAGATGCAACAGCTCCTTCTTGGCACCAATGGCTCCATCTCCCCCCTTACACTTCCAGAAGGCTCAGTTAAACTGTCCTGAATCATAGGGCACCGGTGTGTGCTTGGGCAAGAGTCCTTTTTTCATTCTTGCTCTTGGTGATCACCAACACAAGGAGGTACTTGGATTATTGCTGCTTAAGTGATCCTGGCTGCTCACAGATTCTTCTCTGAGGGACTTCCCTCGTCCCCTTGATGTGGAGAAGAGAGAGGCCTCTTGGCAGAAGAGGAAGCCTTTGTGCAGGCCTCAGAAATCAGTGACTTGTGAGCAAGGACGTCTCCATATTGTAAGAGATGGTGAAGTCCTTGATGCGAAGGATGCTAGTAGCTAAGGTTTCAGTGTGTATGGTGGTGGTGATCTTCTCTCAAGGAGCTAACAATGCCAGGGACATGAGATCTCAGCAGACAGGCCAGAATTTCTCTTCCTTGGATTCTTTTTTAACTTGCTTCTCTCAGAGCCAGAGTTTGGCAGTGAGAGAGTCGTTCCTTTCTGTTCCGCATTGATCAGACAGCATGTGGAATATTGCATCCAGTTCTGGGTGTTGCAGTTTAGGAAGGGTATTAAAAAACTTGGTGGAGCTTGTTTAGAGAGGAGCAACCAAGATGATGACTTCCCTGGAAGGAAAAACCTAGGTAGAATGGTTGGAGGCAACAGCTGTGTTTAACCTGGATAAGTCTATGGGGAGGTACGATAGCAGTCTCTGAGTGTCTCAAGGGCTTTCTGGTAAAGTTGTTTAGAATTGTGTCAGAAGGTAGGACAAGAAAACTTGGGCTTACATTGCAAGGAAGTAGATTTTTGGAATCAGGAAGAACTTCCTAACAGTAAGAGCTGTTCACCCGTGATGCACGCTTCTTCGCTAGAGGTATTTAAACAGAGGCTGGATGACTGTTGCCAGAGGATGCCACAGTTGTGACCCCTGCACTGAGCAGGGAATTGAACTAAATGATCCCCAAGGACCTCTCCTGACTTTCTTTTCTATGACCCAAGTCCAGAACTTCTGTGGAGATCTTGATCTGCCTTCCCCTCTGATGGGACTGTGACAGGGAGTTGATCTTTGAGGAGTCTTCCTCTCTCTGAGCTCCATGAGCAGCAGCTGGTCACATTCACCTTCGGAGCTGCGTCTGCCTCCCAGGCTGCAGTTCATTAAGCTCTTGGCAGGCGAGAATTGCCTGTTTCCGGCTTTTTCTTGGGCTGCTGGAACTGGCACAGCAGCCCCTCATGCTTGGTAGCTCTTTGAGCTTGTGCTCAAGAGAGAAGCCATCAGCAGAGCCCAACCCTGTTGTATTTGATCACAAAGTGGGAAACTTCTCAAAAATGGGGAAAGAAGAGAAAGAGGCTTTAATTGTTTTAATGGTTTTGCTTTTTTTATGGATTTTGTAAAGCACCCAGAAGCTTCTGGGGTAGGCAGCCATATTAAATCAAATTAATTAAATTAAAGGCATGAGAGCCCAATCTCTTCATAATGCTGAGAGATCATTTAAAATCAGAATAATTGAGGCTCTCCAAGTATGTGTTCCACAATATCCACAAGTCCAGGAGACCAGCATGGCTTTCTTGTGCCCAGGAAGCTGTTGAAAAATAGGCTTCCTTCAAGAAATAGAAAGCCTGGCCTAAGGACAATGAAGAGGAGCACCCAGCATAAGGTGTGCAAGAATAAAAATGGAGGCCTCCCTCTCCCCCAAAAGGTGGAATGATACGTACTTCTTTAATCCACTTAGCAACAAAGAAATGAAAGGTATTGGACACTATCAAGAAATTGAGTTCTTTGCATCTGACTTCACCAGAAGAAACATTACGGATAGCTGGGCCTGTGCTGACTTTCCCAGAGAGGCAATTGGAACAAAGAGCCCAAGGAAAAAGAGATGGGAATCCTCAATGCTCAGTGTTGACTTGTTCATAAATAATCTTGACTTACGAGTGAGCGGTGGGCTGGCCGAGTTTGTGGATGTTACCAAACTATTCAGAGAGATGGAATTCAAAAGTGATTGTGAAGCGGTCCTCTTTAAAAGGGATTAACGGTCAACCAAATAGAACATAGGGTTTGATATATGTGTAAAATTAGGCACATGGAGGAAACTGATTTCACATGCATACTGATGGGGTGTGAACTGTCTGTAGCTAAGCAGGGAGAGGATCTTGCGGCGTGGTGTAAAGATGTCAACTCAATGTGCAGCAACTATGAAGGGCAAATTAGGAATGGGGTTGAAAATAAAGCAGCCCGTATTTCACAGCTCTTCTATAAATGTATGGTGCCTGTACATCTGGAATACTATTACGGTTCTGGTCCCCCCTTTGAGCAGGGTTCCAAAGAGCTGGACAAAGGGCAGAACAGGGCAGCTGAAATGCTGAGGAGCTCAAAGACCTTCCCTGGGAGAAAAAACCTGGGGATTCTCTCTCTCGGAGAAAAGATGATGGAGAGTGTGAGATCCTGCCTCCTTTGCAGAAAGCAAGCCCTTAATGGAACGTCTTTGGATCAACTCACGGAGGGCAGGCTATTGTGAAGACACAGTGTGGCCTGCATGTTCCCAAATCCCCACCGACAGGGCCGATCTTAATGTGAGGAAGCTGAGGAACCTCACAGCAAACAGCTGGAACTTCTTATCAGCTGTATTCAAGAAAGAAGCTGTAACGCCAGGCCCTTCTCCTTCTCCATCTGATGACCTTCTGGTGGAGCCCAAACCTCTAGAGAGGAACAGCTGGTTCTCCTTGGCTCCTTCCAGAATCCCAGTCAGGTCTGCAGGGGGACAGTGTCAAAAAAGTCAAGAGGGCAGCTGTGACCACACAATTGAAGCCCCACTCTTTTTACCTGTGTCAAGGTGGGGCTTCAAATGTGAAACGCCCTTGATTTCATGTGTAAATTGGCCCAGCCAGAGTGAGATTCCAGGGAGATTATTTCATCCTGAGAAATCTTCAGCTTTTACTAAATTCAGTTCAATTCAATTCAATTCAATTCATTAAATTTGTTGCAGCTGCCCACCGTATTAGACTCTGAGTGGCTTACAAAATCCAGAAACAATTGAAACAATTAAAACCAAATTAAACACACATACACAGATAAAACAGGGGCTCCACAAATAACTCCATTAACTCCAGGCCTTGGAGAGGGGCACCGTATTTCCAGGGCAGCCTGTTCCAGTGGGCGGGGGCCACGACAGAGAAGCACGCTTCCTCGGTCCCACACGATGGCAGTGTTTAATAGAGAGGACCTGGAGCGCAATTACACCGGGCAAACAAATCAGACAGGCAGAGACAACTGGAGATTCCCACGATCTTGCTTTTATTAAATTTCCTCTCACGGAGAATAGCCACAGCATCTTTCTTGGAAGCTGTGAAAGCTCTCACTTCAGTGCAGGAGAAGATGGTGGCCAAGCCTCTCTCTTGGACAGTAGCCAAGCAGATGGCCAACAAGCCCTCTCCAGGAATCAAATGCCCTGTAATGACCGGCTCCTGGTTCCAAAGGTAGCAATTAGCACAGCAAATGAGGGGTTTTGAGGATGAAAATTGTACAGATGCCATCTGTACCCATCTGACTGCAGCACCGTCTTGACCAAAGTATTACATTTATATCATCTTGGCTTGTGGGGGAAGACCACAAAGTGTAATTACTTCCACGGCTTTGCTCTATTTTCATTTATTTCTCCTCCCCCTCTGTCTTCCCTCTTCTGTGTCTTTTCCATCTGCTCTCAATTGCCCTTCACTAAACTTTCTTCCTTTTCCCTCCCAATTGACTCACAATACAATACAGTATTAACAACAACACTTCCCTGACTAGTTTATATATCTGTGTAGCAGGAATGTGTACAATGCTGTTTGCCTATCACTTATCAGAGTGATAAATATTATTTTTGATTTCTTCTTCATCTTATTTTTGCTGTTATTTTTCACAGCTGGAGGTGGGAGGGCCTGGTCTTTGACACAGCCCATGCACGGTGTGAACCTTTTTCTTGCTCGCTGTTTTTAAGAATAATCACTTGGAATGTTAAGAAGTTGAGGTCTCCAGCTAAGTATAAAAAAGTGCTAGCTCAATTTTAAAAGATAGGAATCAAAATGGATTTTCTGTAGGAGACTCATATTCATCCTGAATATACAGGTGGTAATTCTATGCAAGTGGTTTGAGATTTTAACTAATAGATTTTCTTAACTGATTGTTGAAAATATCAGCTGGAGAAGGGTCTCTTTTTCATACCGGGGGATTGCAGCTGTACACTTCAAAACCAGAATTTTATTATGTTGCACAAGGCAGTGATATTGGGAAAAGGGAGAGAAGAGAGACTCGAGAAGTTATTGGTCTTCAGACTTA